AATTCTGGAGTAGTCCAAAATAGACGTCCACTCGGAAAGAGCTTACCACTGCTCACTCGCTGGAAGTCTGCTTTCTCCACCGGATCCTTATTCGGCTCTCTGACACGTATACGAATCACACCAACTTGTGGAAAGCTCCTCGCGATCTGAGATGACGATCACACCGAACGTCTGCTGAGGATCCTCACTTGTTTTTGACAGAACTTCAAGAACTCCGGCAACCTGTTCTGCCACGCCTTCTTGATGTGGAAATTGTCGATCTCAGCCTGTTTAGTGAAGATCATGTTCTCATCGGCGGGAGCTTCGAAAACGTCATCATCACCCATTTCATCATCGTCAAGGGTCCTGAAGATATCTTGTCAGTTCCTAGAGGAAACTGATGCGTCCTCTACCTTTCCAAGCCCTTCAACTCTGAGATGGTGTACTCAACGTAGCCTCTGATTTCCTGCCAACAACATTCAACACTCCTCTTAGTCATTCTCACTCACTCTTCCGGCCACCGCGACACACGCTGGATGGCGCAGCTTCCTCCCAAGGAATCTGTCTTCAGGTCTGGCTTCTCCGAACGTCATCTCCAACGCACTCGGAGAATCCGGAGTTAGTTTCTTATTCACTGCAGCCTCATTGTTCGCAGTGAAACAGCCGAGAATGATGATGCCTATGCGCATAATGTGTCGGCAACGCGTAATGATGAGGTGGAATTAGATATTTGAGCATTGAGCGTTGCGCTCTTTCCGAGGCGGAAAGCATTTCCTTAAGACTACGGGAATCATCTTATTGCAGTATTCAGTACGCACAATCCGAAGATTGCGTAAATTGCACAGCGCCTTAATTTTTTAACCATGGGGAGTTGGGAGTTGAATCTTTGCTCTCCTGATCCGGCACTATTGGACTCCATATCGCATGCAGAGAAAACGGCTCAAAAATCGGATGTCATTATCGCACCGCCTGAAGACACGTGCGAGACACGGTGTTCCAGAATACTATATACGACCATGTAGGTTATAAGAGACGCACTGTGGTATGCAATCTTCTAGTAAATTGCAGGCTGATCAATTAGCCAGTCTGCTGCGACCATAACGGCCCGAATAATAGCGCGGACCCTCCACCGAACTAGCTCTATCGAGACCTCTGCTGTTCGCTTAGCGAACAGGGT